CAAACTATCATTGGAATCGATAAATACAAATCACCTACTTTGTTGCAAATCACTTGATAACATTTATTTCGAAGTTTCTAGAATTCAATAGGAGGGTATATGAGCGGATAGGGATCACACAATTTATTAGTTTCCATTTGATTGTCGTAGCAAGCAGAATCAAAAAAGAAAATCATGTCACCAAAAACCAAGCTCAAGTTGGAACCTCATCACCGGTATTGCGAGGAAGCATTTGCCCAGAAACCGTTTGTCGTCGGAGTTGGACATCATCAGGTACTTTCGATTCAAGCATGAAACCCAACAACTTTCAATTGGATAAAGCATTCAAGTTGTGGTTACCAAGCATTCAATTTGTGGTTACCAAGCATTCAAGTTGTGGTTGAAATTTTGTTTGTAACACCCTTAGCTATCGTTTGAAGGGTGAGCCCCCAGATTTCCAGACATAGTGCAATTTTGGGACACCCTAATATACAGGGATACGCGGTATATACAGCGTATCGCATAATTGAGCGTACACCTGAATGGACAATTTTTTGAAAGACTGTGAGTAGATAGATTTTTGAAATCTTGGCTAGTGGTTGAACAACTATTTATTGATTTATCAGTAGAGCTTTGGACTTTATTCGCAGAGTATGTATGAAGTTTGAGTAATTTCAGTAAAACGGTCGATTTTTAACTTTTTTCATAGTGAGTGGATTTTAGTAAAATTAGCGGCATTTTAAAGATCTTTATTATGGCTACAGAATAGCAAAATTTCAATATGTTTGGCTCATTATGTTTCAAGAAAATGTGTTTTTTAGGAAATCTAGTTTTTCTAAAATAGCTCTTATCCAAAAAAGCCCAATACTATACCGATTATTTGTAAATGGTTGATGAGCCAACAGCCACAAATTTAAAAAAAACTACCCTTTTAAGTTATGCTCGTACAGCAGTTTTTTCTTAAATGTACGGATAGCTGTACGCTCAATTTCGAGATACAATGTATATGGATGTGAAGAAGAAAATCCCCACGTCATTATACCAGCCAGATTGATGCGATCCCTCTGTCTTTTTAATTCCAAGATTGCTACTGTCAAATCGACCAATGAGAAACTGGCTCAGATTTGACAGCAAATTGGCTCTAAATCGCTACCCGATTGTCAAGTCCCGTCCCAGGTCCTAGGTTTTGAGATACTATGTTTAAAAAAAACGTTTTCAAAGAGTAACGTCTATTTGTCTGTGCTTTTACTAGAGTGCTTTCGCTAAAACGGCCTTACATATATATATTTTTCATTCCATTAGGTTCCATTGATAAGTTTAGTGACGTAGAAGGGACGATGATTGAAGATTTCATATCAAAGCTAGGCCCTACCAGTGTTGCCAGATATACCGATTTATAGGTATTTGTACCGATTTTCAAATTTGATACCGATATACAGATAAGGTTCTTTAGATTACCGGTTTTAGAGATTTTATACCAGTTATACGGACTTTTTTTAATAATTAAAATTATTGCCTGCCGCGCTCAAATTTCAGAGAAAATTATTATGAAAAAGACTTTTATCTTTTTGAATACCTATGTCCAGGCATGGAAAATCATTTGCATTCATTTAGTGCATTCATTTACATTCAATTGCCCCTAACTTTTTTCATCAACAGAATTCCGCAAAATGATGTATGAAACTTTTGTAGGTTTTGTTATTAACTACAACATTTGTTAGGAATCCAAATCCGTATCTCTTATGCATGACGAACCAGAGCAAACAGAATCCACTACTGTTTTTCAGTGAATGTATTTTACATTCACTGAAAAACAGTAACGAGTTCTGCCCGCTCTAACTCGTGATGCATAAGAGATACAGATTTGGATTACTGGCAAAAAAAGTAGCCAATAGAAGAACCTACAAAAGCTCCATACATCATTTTGCGGAATTCTGTTGATGAATAAAGTTAGGGGCAAATGAATGTAAATGAATGCATGAAATGAATGTAAATGATTTTCCATGCCTGCCTATGTCAATTTTTTTTAGCCTTCATAATGCTCAAAAATATCAGGCATAACATTTGATAACGGCACAAAAGCATTTCTAATCTAATCTAATCTAATCTAACACCAACACAGCCAGTTCTTGAAAGCATCCTGGAAAATGATATATATACCTACATCATTTTTCTTGTCTATTTGATATACGTTTCACATCGAAGATGCGTCACATATATCAAAACAGCCAGGCCTACTGTGCAGCATTTAAGGGGCAAGATGATTCAGAAAACATCGGGCCTGTTTAAATTGAAGATTTGTTATTATATGATTGGTTGGTCGTAGAAAGCATCAAAGCTAGAAAGGTTAAGTGATGCTCCATTTTCTTCTGACGGTTGGGGCATGAGCACTAACTCGTGTCCTAGCCTTTTATGACTAATGGCTATAGCGCCATTACTCGCTTTCTGAAAAGAGAAGAGGGAAAGGAAAAGGAGAAGGACAAAAGGAAAAGGATTATGTGAAATCAATGAACATAAACAATATTTTTGATTTGAAATATAGAACATATAGAAATGCAGAACCCGACTCTTGTCACTATTATCAAGTCATAAAAAGTAACAAGGACTAAAATGTGATCCTTTGATTACTGGAAAATCCTGATTCCCTAGTTTGAAGTTGTCATGACTAGGGTTCGGTGATAGATCTTATACCAGTAACGCACCACAAAAAGGTGATCTCCCAACGTTACTAGTTTGAAAAGATAAAAATTAATAAAATGGAACGAACTCACCAAGTTTAGCCAATTGAACCTGATAAAGCTGCCTGACATGTGTTGATGTAGAAGTCCAAATTGTAGACGAAGCTTGACGAAGATCAACATAAACTAGTCCGGTTTATGGTAGTTGCGCGGAATGTCTTCTTTCGATTTGAGATAAACAAATGTACGGATGTAAATAGTCGATTTTTGATGTGCATTGGCCAGCTTTTTCGTGGATAATAGCGAAGACAACAAATCAAGAAGACTGGTCAACTTTGTCAGAGTCCAAGCGACAGATACAATGGCGCTGCGCTTGAGTGAAGGTGGAAGCAACGCATAGAAAAATTAGCAAATACGCAAACCCTTCTTGTGATGATGTAATCTTTCCTATCAAATTCGTTCGAAGCATTTACCTTTTGAGCGGAAGATGACGCGATTGTACCTGTCTCATTGCGTTCGTATGAGAAAATGGAAGAGTTGCCAGTCTTCTTGATTTGTTGTCTTCGATAATAGTCAGGTTCAACGCTACGACTCAACGAATGATGGAACTAATGATGGAACGCCTCGTGGAGGTTCTACTTGGCTTCGGAACAGCTTTTCAGCGGCAAATAATAGGGACCTACAAATTGTCTCCTGGGCCTGGTTATGGCCAGATCAGCAACCGATTCTAGATCTTTGATAACGGCACAAAAGCATTTCCATCGGATAAAGGCAACTATCACCTTTCCGAAAGTGGTATTGGTTTGCGTGGCGTACTTTGGTTCGCGTGTAAATGGCCTTAGAAAGTTTGTTTACAAATGCTTTTGTGTCGTTATCAAATGTTATGCCTGATAGATTCGACAGTGAGCATGCATAAGGGCGTAACCGCGCTGATCGATTCTCTTCGTAGATTTTTTTTTCTTTTGCTAATAACTCACTTGGATTAACAATTACTGTTGCTTTCGATAGCCCATACAACCTGTGTGTGGTGCCGTCTACCCACCCAATTGAGCTGACTTTTTTGTGAATGTCAAGTTTGTTGTTTGTTGGCCCTAATCACATTCAAAAATTAGCTCAATTGGTTGAAAGATTGTTGAGAAATTGCGGTGGGTAGGGGATTCCTGTATTATTTCCTTACAGCAACTACAGCCAAAGCAAAAATGCAGGTACTGGAAAAAAAACCTCATAAGGGGCTGTTCATTAACTACGAACAGTTTTTTTTTATTAACCCCTCCCCCTCCCCCTTACATGGGACGTGGATAATTGCCAACCCACCCCCCTAAACTGTCTATGTAGTTTATGAACAGCCCCTAATACTAATGCATAAATGGTACAGGCTTAGAAAGCTCTCAATTAACAACTGTGGAAGTGCTCAAACAACACTAATTTTGAGAGCCGGCGTAAAGTCCCAGTAGGGACGTAATAAAACCAAAGAAAAAGCAGAAGTAAAATTTTGCCTCGTCACCAAACACCAAACTACCGTGTGGGTACCTGAATAATATATAGGTCTACTCACCGTTCTGCGGAAGCGAATTTTTCTCCGGTGTAACTTCAAATTTAGCGGTTTCCTCGTTTCCATATCGGAGGCTGTTACAAAACAAATAAACAAACAAAAAAAAAAAACAACAAGTATCCGATCAAATGAAGAACAACGAGGAATTTCACCAAAAATAAATCACCAATAGCACAAAACTGACATTGATGGCTGTCGGATTGGATTTTATCTCTGTACTGCTGTGCGACACGACGGTCAACGAGTGTTACCTTCTTCGCAATTGCTTTCCTATCGATAGACCATGCCTGATTAGACCACTTGATAAGACCGTACCGTGAGAGTGTTGATGGGTTCGCGTAATCGAAAGACGCTGGTTGAAGAGACATGTGTTGGAGTTGAACACATTTGATATGGCAAAGTGTGCGAAATGAAACACCGTTGTTTAATTATTATTTTTCAATTATGTATTTTTAAGAATAATTTATTTATATTGATTTTTGTCGTAAATTTTCCATAATTTACAGAGATTTAAATGAAATTAAATATAAAATAATAATAAAAATATATTGCGTTTTTCTTAATGGATTCCTTCTTGTTTCTCTTCTCTGTTGAATTCTCCAGGTTTTTAATAATAATGCTTTGTTACATGATATCTGACATTTACGTTTTCTAAGAAACTAAGAGAGAATCTTTTACTCATATTCACAAATTACCTCTTCAGTTTTGTTTATTTCTCGTTACTTGTGTTCTCCACTGTCTTCGATCGTGCTTAAAGATAATGTATTTTATCTTTATACCTTGTTACTTAATTCATCTACTGTTGTTCTTCCACTTGTTGGATTATCATTTAACTTTTTTTTCCTGTTAATTAAAGGTATAATACATTTATAGTTACGATTCATTTAGTCGCTGTCCTCTTTAAAATAGTCAACTAGTTGGTTTCCATTTTCTTTAAAAATAAGAGTAATTTGTGTGATTTTTCTCTGACCGCTAATATTAACTGTTGTTTTGCATTAGATTTAATGATAACTAAATCTATATGCAAAGGAGGGGATTTTTTTCATAAATAAATTAAATAGCTTATTGGACACGAAAAACAGAATTCGTACGCGCACGACACAAAAATTAATACTAATAGCAACTAAAAGTACTACTTTCATTCGCTAGTTCCATTCTCACATTTGTTATGTGTTTACTCATAATTTTATTACAAGAGGTTTCCTTCTTATAATTCATTTTAGCTACTTGTACCGCGATTCACGGGTGACAATTTCTTCTCTTTCCTTTCGCTACTGTACATACACTCAACAGATGAATGAATTCCTGTTCCTTACATTTTTTTTTTAAATATATTAAAACAAAAACCCTCTTAAAATTACAGCAGCTTTACACAGCTTTGTAGTTTTCTGTACACAATAGATCCGCAATTAACCATTTACTTGCTTCTATTCAATCCACCAGTGGAGCAAATTGCCTTTATATTCGGGCACCGACCAGGGGTAAGGGGAACGAAACCCCGCACCCAAGAATAATTATGAATTATATTTACAATGCTGGGAAGTGTTTGGGAGTAGGGGTGGGGGAAGTCACGTACAATCTCATTTTTGTTGTCACACCTACCACATACATACATCACGCACGGCGTATTAGCATCACACCACACACATCATTAAACGGCAACGTCTTCATTCGAGATCGATTGGTTATTCATGCAATTTTTCATTTGCTCTTACTATCGCCCTTCTAGTTTTGTTTTTTTTTTTTGCACTATGCTACTTTCCTTTACCTATGCACTTTCCTTGTGTGATTTTTTTAGTCATTATTTCTCAAATATTTTTAACAGGATAAACAAGATTGTTCTGCTCAGTGGTGTAAAAATTTGAAACAATGTTTTCTTTTTTTTCCTTTTTTTATGCGCTACATTAAGATTTTTGTTTGCCTGTTTTTAGTGATTTTACCATTTTTTTTAATATATTTTTCCTTTGCTGCTTTAAGGTATAGTGTTATTTGTTTAACTAAGTTGATTTTTTTTATAAACTTTCAAAGTATGCTACTCCTATTTTTGTGGTTTAAATATGTTGCTTCCAGTTATGCTACAATTAAAATTTGTCTGGTCGACTATGTACAAGGTGTGTATTTTGTGTGAGTGTGTGTATGTGTGTGTGTGAATGGATGTATGTAGCTTAGCTGTATGTTCTTACCGGATAAATTGTGTTTGAATTTGAACAAATGGTTTCCTTTATGATCTAAAAATAATAAACTTCTAAAACAGAATAAACTTTATGTACCATCATCTCTCACAGAAAACACAGGAAGTAGATTTTCGAAAAGCTATGAAAATACACTTTAAAGTGGCGGGAAAATATTTCCCTTTTCACAATATATCATTCTTTGCTGGACGTCTCTTTCAAAGACAATTACAGTTAAAACAAAATATTTTAAAATAGTACCAACAGGAAGCAAAAAAAAACAATATACACAATTTGACTGATGATTTTAGCACAACAATGAAACATTTACACGACTATTTACACAAACCGTCATCTAACTTCACAATCCTTTGCAGCGTTGATTTCACTATGTGGTTGTTGTTGTTGTTGTTGCTGTTGTTGTTGTTGTTGCTGTTGTTGTTGTTGTTGCTGTTGTTGTTGTTGTTGTTGCTGTTGCTGTTGTTGTTGTTGTTGTTGTTGTTGTTGATGTGGGTGTGACTGTGACTGTGACTGATGTTGCGCTACCAATGGTGGTGCAAAAGGATTGAAAGCAGCAGCCCCACTAGCAAGACTATTGAAAGACATTGTGGAGGTGAAAGAGGAATATGCGGAAGACATTGCACCCAAGTCGACTGATTTGTTTGGTTCGAAAATACCGCCACCACTTGTTGTTGGAACAGTAGCAGCATTTGTCAGAAGAGGACCACCCATGCTCATTGAAGGCACGGCAGGGGGAGTAATGTTGGCAACAGTATCCGTGCATGATTTCTCAACACCCGGTACCGAAGCGGCACTCAGGTCAATCGTTCCCGTATCCAGCGGAATGTCCAACTTTGATAGGACTATGTTGAGAGTTTTCGTTTCCTCACAAGCCGGAGCACCCGGCTGAGATGGTTTGCCTACTGTCTGTTGGTGGTCGGCATTGGCAGAACCCTTGTTCTTCGAAGACATTACGTATCCACCACCAGAAGAACTGCGGGCAAGCTTGAGTCGTATCGGTGTGATGAGTGGTTTCGTTACGCCACTGCTGCAATTGCTGTTTTCATTGGAGTTGTCCATCTCAACGGAATCCAGTGCCAGCGGGTCCACTTCTGGTGAATTGTGGCCACTGCGCGGTGGATCCGGTAACGGAACGCTCATCGCTTCATCCGCCATCTGTGGCTTTTTTACACCAAGCCGTATCACAATTCGCGGAGCATCTTCCGACTTGTTGATGATTTCCACCTTTTCGCCCTTCTCTTTCTTGTGCTTCTTTTCCTTTTTGCGCTTCTTGTGCTCTCGATCACGTTCTTTGTCTTTATTTTTGTGCTTCTTGGGCTTCCGTCCCTCTTCTTCGTCGTCGAACATCATTTGCTCAGCAAACATCATCGCATCACGACGAAGATCTTCCAGGCTAGGAGGGGCCATCGCAGTAGCCAATCTCTTCTTAGGCGGCCGAATCCGATCGCTATAGGAACCGGAAGCTTGCACCATATCCAAGCCAATTTTGATTTTGAGCTTTGGAGCCACCTGCAGCTGATTTACCGTTGTAAGCGTTGCCGTCCGGTTCGTTCTAGATCGACGTTTCACAGCCGGCAATACGTCTACCGCCAGATTGCTGTTCGATCCATTGCTTCCCGTAGATCCAACGCTCCTTCTTCGTTCCATAATTTCATGCTCGGTGGGTACCAACCCACGCAATTCCCGTGACATATTCGACGAAAGCTTCTTCCGCTTTTTGAAGTCGACTCCACCATAGTCCTTGTAATCGTCCCTCGTGGGCATTGTGCACAAAGAATCCACCGCCTTCGGTATGCCAACAGTCCTGCTGATTGACGTAGTCAAAGTCAAGCTTGGAATTTGGTCCACAACCTGCAGTCCAGTCTGATCGTCATGATTCATATCCTGGGTCCAATACTGCCGGAGCAATTCCTTCTTTCGCATTCGCCTCAAATTAGACGAACCAGCACCCATACTGGCCATTGGTGTCGACATGATGGGTGCATTCAAGCTGGGATCCAGTACGCTGGACTGCTGTAACGTTGCCGTAGAAGATGATGAGCTGTTGTCTAGCTGTGCTAGTGGTCCCTTGATCTTCAGCTTCATGATATTCCTGGAATCAGACAGCGAAACTTTGGTGATGATGCTATCGGAATCGTTCGTTTCCTCTTGCGGTTGTTCGACAGGTTCCAACAAGCTGGAAGTCGAAGCCATTCCAGCTGCCGAAGTTGTCGAAGTTGATGTTGTACTGGAAGAATTCATTGATACAACCGACTGCGTCATCGGTGCTGAAGCAGGAGGAGTCGTGTCAACCTTGTTGTTACTAGCCTTCAAGGCGGATTGCAACTCGTTCTCCATGTCCTCGTCTATATCTACAAGCGTCTGATCAGCAGTGCCACTAGCAAACGCTCCAAGTAGATGATTGTTGAATGCATCCGTATTGGTCGCAGAATCAAATCCACTGTTGTACGTTCGCATGTCGACCGGACCTGGTAGGACTGTTTGTACCATGTCCTGCAATCTGGTTGAAACACTTGGTTGCGTTACGCTAATATCCGCCCCCGTTACCATTCCAGAACCCAAGCTTGATTGCATCGAAGTCGGGGTGTATGAGGAGCGATTCTGTTTCGAACCAAGCGCGCTGTTCTGGGAAGTATACAGATTTAGACTAGGGAATTTAGGCGACTTGGATGGTTCACGAGATGCCCGGAATGAATCCGGCATGCGACAGTCGATCGAACGCCGCCGATCGCGCATGTCCCGCAATTTTTCCATACTATTACACGCTAGATCATCGTCAAAGTCCGGATCGTATACCGTACCGATGAGTTTGTTGTGTATCGTACCTCCCATAAAATCATAGTCATTATGTGGCAACTGCGGAATGAAGCTGATTTGCGGCCGACCACCCCGAGACTGCCTTCCGTTTTTGCTCTTTGCTGCAGCACCACCCCGTTGACTTTGGCTGTTGGTACGAGGGCCGCGTGGACCCCGTTTGGCACCACCCTCTGGCTTTCCGAGACCCTTACCACCTACCACAGGAGGTTGAGGTACTTGCGGTGGCGGCGGCTGTTGTTGTTGATGTTGTTGCTGCTGCTGTTGTTGTTGCTGTTGCTGTTGCTGCTGCTGTTGCTGTTGCTGTTGATGATGCTGCTGCTGTTGCTTAGCATCGAAGGTCTTCGGACTTTTTCCGGGGCTAATGTTTGGTGGTGACTTCATCTGACCTAGTCCCGCTGCTTCATGAACTTGGTTCTGAATTCGCGAGGAAGATCGTGACGATTTGGTGGGGGACTTCTTCGAGGCACTATTCTGATCTAGTGATTGCAGTATACCGGAACTGTCCTGCTGTGGTGTACGCTGTTGTTGCATCTGTGGAGTCTGTGGTCCCATCATGGCTGGCGAATGGTTCATCATAAAGCTATGCTCTGGCGTCGGTTGTTGCTGCTGCTGCTGCTGTTGGTTATTAGGTGAAACCATGGACGCCAGTGGCGATGCTGCCGTCATCTGTGGCGTCAGGGATTGTTTTTGCTGCTGAGGTGTTGGTGGCGAAACGATTGCTTCCGTTAGCGCAATATTATGTGATGATGAGGATAATGTGGCACCACAAAGGCTGTTCGGAACAACCATATCATCCGGTTTACCACCATGCACTGAAGGTTGTTGAGATTGCTGTTGTTGTTGTTGTTGTTGTTGTTGAGGAGCATTTTGCGGTTGTTGTTGCTGTCCGCCAGCAGCTGCCGTAGGCAACATTGGATGATGAGGTTGTTGCTGTTGTTTTCCGGATTGAAAGTTGGAAGCATAATTTGGTGGGAACATGGCCGTCCCGGGAGACGGAAAAGGAACTTGTACGTTAGTGGGAGGGAAAAGCGCCACCGCGCCTGGATATTGTGAGGTTTCGTTGAAATTGAACTGCTCCAACGGATTCATGGTATTGTTTGGTTGCTGTTGCTGTTGAGTTTGAGGCTGTAGCATCTGATTTTGGATGTCCATGAAATTGTTGAGATCATTAAGCTTGTTCCGATGATTATTGGCATTCAGATCATGCTGCTGTTGCTGTTGTTGCTTGAGGAGCATGTTCTCCTTCTCCTGCATCACGGAACATTCGTGCTTCTTCTGATTCGGTACCATGTCGTTCCATCGGCGCTGGGGATGCTGTGGTTGCTGTTGCTGTTGGGCTTGTTGTTGAAGATTCTCGAACAGCAATGAGGTAGCTTCATTTTGATTTGCAACACTTTTGATGGTCTGCATAAAGTCCAACCCTGGTAGATGATTGATGTTGTCGAGATGTGAGTGCTGGTGATGATTGGTCTGCGGTTGCACCAAGGCATCGAACAGTCCCGGAACTTGTGGACCCATGTGTGATGATTGCTTCTGATTTCCAGCAGAGGCTTGACTGTTGAGCAAAGCTTCCATGCAGCTCGGAGGTTGTGATTGCTGCTGCTGTTGTTGTTGATGCAGCATTGCACGATTATCATTCATTGTGGTAGGAGGTTGTTGTTGTTGTTGTTGCTGCTGCTGCTGTTGTTGTTGTTGTTGTTGTTGTTGTTGTTGTTGTTGTTGTTGCCGCTGTTGATTGTGATCTTGCAACATGGACGGAGGTACCCACCGTTCATCAGATGGTCTGCTAGTGAGATGATCCAGATGATCTTCCTTCAAGTTCTTCTTGTTATGGTGTAACGAATTTTCAACATCTTCGTTCGTATTGAACTTGTTGAAGTATTCCATATCGTTATTGGACAAAGGTTTACTTTTTTCGAGGGCCTGCGCAATGGCAGGAATGTCTTTACCGCTCGTATTGAAATCAAGCCCCGAGTGCTGATTTCCAGTATCGAACAGCTTACCATCGTCGTCCAGAGAGATGATATCCGACCGGGTATCTTTTGGATCGTCATGTTTACTGTCCTGGCCACCGCCAGATCCTTTCTTATACTTTTGCCGCAGCTTTTCAACAAGATTTAGGGTTTCTCGCTGAGTGTCTTCCTTACAATCCTCCATAAATGGGAAGTTTAGGGGAGGACCGAACGTATCATCCGCTACCGATTCACCCTCCGTTGGCAACGACAGCAAGTCGAATATCGACGGGCACAAACCTCCACTGGCTGTGGTCAATCCGGCATCCTTGGCAGCCGAATTATTGCTATTGTTATTATTACTACTACTACTAGTGAAATTGTTCATAACGTTGCTCATACTGTTGGCGGTAGTTGGAATGTTCTCCATGCTGGAAGGCGGTTGTTGGAACGATGAAGTTGTAACTGGAATATTCGTGTCCGGTACTGCAGCCATTGCCAATGATTCTAGTTCGAATTGCTTCTTCTCCTCAATGGGTGCAACAGGATTTGCTGCAATCGATGGAATATCTACCGGTACCATTGGTTCAGTCGAAAGATCTTTCCTCGTGCTCTTCGGATTAGGATTCTCCTCCACTTTTTCCACCTTAGTGTCATTTGAACCATCTTCCACGATAACCACATCTCGACCGTCGTTGGACCTTGAATCATCTACCAACGAAATAATCTCGATATCTTTTTTACTATCCACCAGCCGACCCTTGGACTTGTCCTTCACCGGAGTAACCGGCAGAAGATTTGCAACATCTTTTTTCGGCTTCGCCAGATCCAGTTCAATTTTGGGTTGCTCAATCGACTTCATAATATCATTTTTACTAGACAAATCGTTTTCGCAAGGATTAAATTTAATTGCGTCACTACTAATGGGACTCTTTGAGTATTTATCGCTTGTATCATCTTTAACAACGGATGCCACTGGCTTTTGGTCACTGCCTGTTGCAGGTTTGACCTCATCGTGCCGATCTATTACACTAGATTCAGCAGCTAGTACACTTGACGATCGTATTTCCTTCTTGCCATCCTCCACACTTTGAGGCCCTGCCAAAAGTGGAGAGGATCTTACTGGCATTGCTTGTTCCTCCTCCTTTTTGCCACTGCTACTACTTCGTGACGAAGAATCATCAATGAGTATTATATCTTCCTTTTCCTTACGAGCAGCATTCGAACCAGGTCGGACACGGCTGCCACTTCTTTCCCTTTTCCGGTTATCATTAGCCACCGAGGACAGCGCTTCGACTTCTTTCCGACTAGATTTTTGCTCAACTATTGTCGGCGACTCAGCTGCCGCAACGGCATCGGAAGCAAGCTTCTCAGCAATCGCTAACTTCTCAGCAATCGCGGCCTTCTCAGCAATTGCGGCCTTCTCGACCGCAGCTTGTTTCTCTGCCGCTTCTAATTCTGCGGCCTTCTTTGCAGCTGCCAGTTGTTTCTCTTCGGCTGCCTTCTCAGCTGCTGCTGTCCTTTCAGCTGCTGCTGCCCTTTCAGCTGCTGCTGCCCTTTCAGCTGCTGCTGCTGCCCTTTCAGCCGCTGCCAGTTTCTCAGCTTTCTTCTTCAGTTGCGCTTCCTTGATCATCTTCTCCGCTTCGGCAGCCAACCGCTCCTTCTTTTCCCACTCAAAGTCCACGAAAACCGATTTCCTTCGGCTACGTAGTGGCGTCGGTTTGCTGGCATTCTCTACTGCCGGTGGAGGTGGCTTAATTTCGTTGGGTGTTACTAGACAGGAATTTCGTCGGTTTGGAATCATTTTGCCGCCAGGGGTACTCTTAGAATGATCTCCCGATTTGAGCAGGTCAGCAGTTCGGGAGCGATCGTTAGACACTTTATCCTTTGTGGGTGGGGTAGACTTTGCAGCCGCAGTGCTGCTGCTATTTGGCGGCTGAGGTACGACTGATACGGGTGAAGTCTTGTTCGGCTGTTTTGGTATTGCATCACCTGTAGGTTTCGCTGGGAGTGGTAATGGTGATTGTTCTCTTTTAGCGGTTGCTGAAGCCTTATCAGCTGCACGTGAGGCTGTACTCGATGTAACAGATTTGTTTGCAGATCCTGCTGGTGCGACAACAGCGGTGGTGGTGGCCGTACCTTTCTTTCCGGACTCGGGTTCCTTTCTACTGATTTGCTTCTTAGGACTAGCTTCTCGCTTTGAAGATACTGATTTTCTTCGATTACCTTTTGTTTGTAATCGCGTCGAGTCATCACTTTGACTGCTGCTGGAGTCGGAATCACTGTCAGACGAGGAAGAACTGGAACCAGACTCGGAAGATTTACTCTTGTCAAGAAAGGGCATCTGCCGGTCTGTCTTCTTTGCGGCAGCAGTGGCTGCCGTCTTGCCTGCAACCGACGCCGGCGCACTGGCCTTAGCTGCAGCTTTGGTTGGCACAGGTGCCGTCGGAGTCTTCTTGCTGGCGGCTTCTTCCTCTTCTTCATCGCTATCCGAATCCGAGCTGCTAGAACTCGAGCATGATGACGAACTGGTTTCCGAACTGGAGCTGCTAGAAGGCGTAGAAGCTTTCTTGTCCTCTTTTCGGCTGGCGGCAGTAGAAACGGGTGCTTTTGCTGCAGCTTTGGTCGAACGTTCTTCTGTAATAGCAGGTGCTGTCGGTTGTACACCGGCTGCCACTTCGGCGGGTTTGCCCATACCGCTTTTGATGTGTTCGGCGGCTTTCTTCGCTGCTTGTCGTTGCGGAACATAAGCCAACACATCCAGCAAGGATGTTTCTTTTGAACTTTCTCGTGGCTTTTCGGAAGCCGGAATTTTATCCTTTTCAACATCTTCCCGTTCTTTTTGTAGCACGCGCTCTTTGGCAGACAATTTCTCCCGCTTGACATCCTTATCAGCTGGTCGTTCTTTGTCATTAAGGACTTTAGGTGCCGGCTCCGGCGCTGTAGTCGTCGATTGAGTTTGTTTAGCAGCCTTGTTATTACTTCTTTTAGCAGCGGCGGAAACCTTCTGAGGTACTTCCGAATTGACTTCTTTGATTGATTTGACAGGAAGTTTTGGTTCGGCATCTTTCGTGCCACTTCCAGTACTGATGCCACTGCTACTGCTGCTGCTGCTACTACTGCTACCACTACTGCTATTGCTTCCCACTGAACTTGTACTTCCACTGCTGCTGCTACTACTGCTACTGGAACTACTGCTGCTACTGCTGCTACTAATAGAGGCAGGCTCTCGACTCTCTTTCAGATCTTTCTTACTGCTAGTTGCTGGTTGTGGTTGTGGTTGTTGCTGTTGACTTCCGCTAGGAACCTGCGAGTTTGATTGCACTGGTGGGACAATGTTGGTTTTCATCATATTCTCAGATGCCTTCTTGGCAGCCTCACGCTGAGGCACAACCAAAAAGTCAGAGGTGAATTCTCTTTTGCTCTGCTGCTTATTGGCGGCCGTATCCTTTTCAGACTTTTTCCTCCCGGTGGTTGCAGCACTTTCCTTAGCAGGTTTATTCGACGAGGAGTAACCGCTACTAGTACTGCCACCGGCCGTTGCTACAACGGGTTCGGCAATCGGCTTCTTTGCCTCCGATCTGGGTGAAACCGTAGGAGCAACCGTAACCGGTGCCGCTGTAGTCGACGTTTTTGTTGACTTGGCTGGCGATACAGACTTTTGCTTAAGTCTGTCAGCTTCCGCCAAATTAAATTCTTTCATCGCTGCTTTGGTACGGAACGGATGCTGCTGCGAGTCGCTTGCCGTATTATCAGTCTTATCCTTATCGGTGCTATCCGAGTCAGAGTAGATGTTCGATATTTTATTGTTCGAATAGGTATTCGATCCGGCCGTTTGCTGGCCAGTTCGCGAAACTATCGGAACTATTTCGTCACTATCGTTCGAATCGGATAAATGCATTCGATCATCAACCAGCTCGCGTTCCATTTGCCGAAGTGATTGGTTTCGCGATTGGTTGACTTTCTTGGATTGTTGCGCTTCAGACGCACTGGGAGTTCCTTTGAGCCGTTCGTTAGCTTCGTCTTCGCTGGAGCTCTCCACCGAGTTGTTGCGGGGTTTCTCTGCCGATGAGCTAACTTTTCTCCGCTTCCGATCAGCTGCTTTCGTTTGTCGCGCCTTTTTCTTCGACACTGCTGGCGGTGAACTTTTCTTGACATCATCTTCCTCCGCAGAACTTGCACTCGTGCTCATGTTTCGCCGGGAATGGTTGTCACTTTCACTAGAAATATCACTAACACTTCGCCGTGCGGCACCATTAATGTAGGTCCGTTTGTAGGGATTATCCTGCTTGTTAGCTGCTGAACGTTGAGTGGTGGCTTTGTTCATGCCATTTACGTCCGTAGGTTTCTTGCCGCTAGGAACCACGATGTCCTCCTTACTTTTCTCGTGTTGCTGTTGCTGTGGCTGCTGCTGCTGTTGTTTACGATTATTTATCTTACTGTTGCTACCAGAACTGCTACTACTATGTACACCAATTATTCGTTCTAACATATCCTCTAAACTCATTACTGCCCTATTACTAACGGAATCACTTGAATATAGTCTATCATATATCGTAGGACCGTGGTTCGCTTGCATGATAACATCGATTGTAGATTCGTCTAAAGGTTTCTTGTCGTTTGGTCGCTGGCTGAGTGCGGCAATCTGTTTGTGAAACGTTTGTTCCCGCATACGGAAGAACGAGCGGGATAGCTTTTCCCGTCGACTAACCATATAGCACAGGTTACGAACCCGTTCGAGATCTTGCCGCAGGTGAACAAACATTTTCATTTTTTCCAAATCATCCGCTTGCTCCTGATTTTGGGCAACCATGTCCACATCGTCGGATTTGGGCGGTAAGAGAGGACGATTATGACCAGACTTACGCTTCAATATCCAATAGTTATAAATGTAATGAATAGCTTCCTGATCAACATCTAATAAATGACAACTAATATCTTTAACACTGACATGCTTATCGAACTCAGCTTCGATTTCTTGCATGCGTTGAGCCCTAGCTTGATTGCGTTCCTCCGAAGTCATATCTTTACGCTTCTTACGTTTTATTTCCCCAGTAGTACCCGCCTCTTCGTCGCTGCCGGAACCCGCATTATTGTTAGCATTTTTATTATCACGTTTACCTTTGTGGACACCGTGCTTCTGGCAGTACGAGCGTAACTTCACACCATCTTCAGCATTCTCGTCCTCGATGATAGCACGCATTTCCAGCCCATGCTGAAAGGCGCACGTCACGTGATACGCCGTTTTGCAGGTCTTCACCGAACACTGGATACAGGCTCCGACTCGCTCCCGACAGAGAACGCATATTAGCGCCCACCTGCTGGCTGGTATGCTGGAGATTTTCGTGATCGGTTCCATCCGGTCGACGGACCCGATGCTGACCTCCGGTATCCACAGGGCGCAGGACACGTGAGCCCATTTTTGTCCGGATCGAGTGGACTTCATCGCACCACCTTTGTTCGGGCACAGAACGCAATCCGGTTTCTGACCCATGGAGCACGTTCGACACATCCACTGACCTGTTGCGAGAACAAAGGGAGAAAAGAGGTTTATGAAAAATAAATGCCCAAATGAGAAAGAAGCCCGATGTATCTATACGATCAAATACCGAACTATTTTTGAAGATGCTAATTTCAAATAACAGACTGTAGTGGTAATTTTTATACGATAGATGGAGTAGATGAAAGCATAGAGTTGATAGTTCCGTTAGAGTACGGCAGTGTGAAGATTGTATATAGATATTAGACAAGCGAGCTAGGACAACTTTTAAGGAAGGTACAAATCGGTTTTTTCATCTCTCTTTACCAAACTCCCCCTTTGGAGAGGGATGGTGAGGGGTGTGTCCCCCGTCCTTTGGAATATTTCCCAAAGATTTTATTTTAGAATTCTTCAAAAATAAGTTTAAAAATTATCGCTGGGCATCCCTTAAAAAATATTTATAACAGTTCATTAATTTCTTTGCAGACCAATTAAAAAAATCATGAAATTCATCCTTATAGGTATTTCCTTCGAATTATAAAGATTTTTTCTAGGAATTCAATGAAGCTTCCTTCTATAATTATATTAAAAATTCACCAGAATTCTCATTAGAATTCCTAAGCAATTGACCTGAGAACTGTCTTGAAATTTTGTTCAGAATTAGTTCTCCTCTAAAGTTTTCTGAAATTTCTCTTGAAAATTTCCTTAAAATTCTCTAGAAATTCGTTTTATGATGCCCTCAAAATTCCCTTAAAATTATTCTCAGGAGTCCTTTGGAATTGTACCCTCAAAATTCGACTCCTTTGGTATTTTTCCCGGATCCATTGGTGATATCCCTGAAATATATCCGAAAAGAAAAGTTCCTCGGGTTTTTCTGTCAAAAATAACTGTCAAACCTAGCCCGACCAAATACAACCTTGTTCGACTTTTTTGTCTCAATAAACGCCCGTTTGATCTAATTTTCATTGTCTTTATTTTTTGGGCTGAAATGATGTAGATTCGTTTCTTCTTGTTCTTCTCTAAAATACACTTGGTCTTATGTCAAAATCTGTACCGAGTTCAACCGAGATAGAACTAACTCGCACTAAATAAAGCGAGCTATTTCGACTACATTGCATTCGGTTATATGTTGGTTGAATAAATACCAACACGAGCAACACGAACTAGGTTGAATCCACTCCGGTGGCACTAAAGTCATCCAAGAACACTTTGCTTGAAGCAGATTTGTTTGGTTCTTTGGTTTGATTATACGCCAGCTATTGAGAGCTGATGTAAACATTACGAGTTTCAGCTTCGCTTATGCCTTTGGAGAAAATTTATCAATTGCGTGGTGTTTTCGATGGTTGTCTCGGTGTATATCAGTTGTTCTTCTAAAAACATGAATTTATAAGAAAGAAGTGCATGAAATAGAATTCACGGTGGCTTCAAGAACCAATGACTGTGCAATCGATTGGTCATACTCGGATGGGTGGATCTCATCGGCATACCATGATGATGGTAACGTATGAACGAAGCTTAAAATCAAGCCGACATCAACGCTACTGCTATCACTCGCGGTAGCTTCAAGAACCAATGGTCATGCCAGCGGATTGGTTGAATCGCCTGAATGAACGTTAAAAAGGAGATCGCAAGTTTGTGAAACTTCAGTGTGTATTTTTTTAAGGCAATCCAGTTTCCTACAACTTTGTCTCAGACGACATTTCGATTAGAAGTGGAGCCGTTCTAGTGCTATGGTTTATTGAAAAAATTGAATACGCTAAAATTAGGCGCGAGTCAAAATGGCCGAATTTCAATTGTTGAGAGTTATTTCAACCTCTCATTATACAAAGCTATTATCAATTCCATGTTTTGATGTGATTGACAGAAATATTGACAATACGATTATTGTCAATAATATTGATGTGTGTGAGGTCCGCTTTGGCGGTCATTATGGCCTGGTTCTTATTGGTCACAGGCAGATATGACTAAAGTACCCCATATTGGCATGCAGAGTTGCGACCTATCACAATCACGATCGTCAAACAGCTGATGATAGTAACGCTTGGTACATTCCCATCAATGTGCTTGTCGAAGCACTCGCCATGACCATCCATCAAGTTGATGAAAGAAGTACAAACAGAGGTGGCAACAGTACATTTTTTGCAAAACCATCGTCCAGAGCAAAACAAAACAGCCAGCACACGGCCGGTCGTGTATTTCTACATTACAAGCAAATAGTGGAGATAGAGAATAGGACAAATGTCGTAGCCCATTATTTTTCAAACAGTTTATTGAAATAACATTTTAGCTGCAAGCTTACGTGTGACAGTAAATTATCAACTCCCTTATTTACGCATAATTTTAACATCTATGCTTATGAGTGGTTAGTATTCATTCTTGTCTTATATTTCCATACAATAAGCCTCAAATAAATGCTATAATTAGTCAGAAATCAGCAAAATTCTACATGACATAAATTTATGTCGCACCAGCGGCGCTCTTGTCGGCTCATTGTGCAAAAATGTTTTGTCGCCTGGCAGAAATGTCATGACATTTTTTCCGCTTGCCAGTTTGTGTTTGTGTGTCTTCTCTATGGTCATTTTACAAAGTACCAAATGTTAAGGAAAAAACGTTAAACTCCAGTACTCGTGCCACTACTGAGTACAAAGCAACTGGTGAATGTCGTCTTCGGTGGTTATCCATCACCGATTTAATTAATATCTCAGTGAAAAATTTGCCGAGATTAAGTTAACAAACGTAAATTTTGCTGAGATCTCAGTAAAAATAAATGCCTCGCCTACTAAGTGTGTAGGCATTCCCAGACAACCAGAAGTCGTATAACGATGTACATACAGTATCGTAAATAACTACAGTTTAAGTCAACATCGCATATAAGTATGATATACCTCGCATTGTGTTTAAGTTAAATCGTATAGAATGCAAATTTCCGACTTATATGCGATGAATCATTTTTCCATCGTACTCTACCACAAATTAAATCGGATTACATCGTAAGACTTTTCAAATTGAATTTGTTATGACAGATTAAATCGTATATGATGTCAAATCAACTCGTTTAATAAGAAATTAAAATTTGCACGTATATGACCTCCACTTTTGTAGGTATAAGCCCTTTGTTTGCATTATGTACGATTTGATTGTGTGTAAATATGTTTGTATATCACAGAAACAACATTCAATATACGTGCATTCTGGTTGTCTGGGTTGTTTTCATTTTCTTCTGTCGTTTCGCTTTTAATCATCATCGTACTGCAGAAGTCATCACTGTTTTCGTTGCGCTTTAAATCGTCAGCAGCGAGTGTTACGTTTTGCCTGTGAGTAGCGACCATTACTGGTGATTGTTGTTTGTCATGGCTCTACCTCGCACTACGTGACAAAACGTTCTGTCAGCGATAGTCGGTTGATGCGTTGATGAGTGTCGAGTGAGTGTCATGATATTTTGCATCACTGCATTCGATACATGGAAAACACGCCTTACTTGTGGATGTTCATTTAACCTGGGTCTGGCGAAGACGTAATGATTTTCGAACCAATTTGAAGCGCCAAAATCGAACCTGTTTTTACTGTTATTTTAAGAAGGAAACAGAAAATTGTCAACTGGTAAAATCTTACATCATTATAGATTTGCTATTGAATCGTCTTTTCTCAATTTCAAACTTCTTCATGTTTTCAAACGATGTGGAATGAATTAATTGATCAGTTTAGACTGAAAATCATGGCATTCAGGCAAACCTATTGGAACTTCCGGTGTACAACATTTTGTGTTGAGCGGCGCTGGTGGTGTAGTGGTAAATATGATTACCTCACACCCCAACAGGTTTGGGTTCAATCCCAGTCGGCGCCGCCGGGATGTTCTGAGGCATAACATTTCTGATCACGCCTTCCTTCGGTCCCCAGTTCATGAGTTGATGGGTCGATAGGTAGGGTCCAGGTGTGGGAGCTGCATCCCTGGCATCGGTAGAATTTTTCCTCTGCACGGAATAGAAGTTTCGGGATCCATTTCGATCGTTTGGAGAAGCGGAATAAGTTTAGTTTTTCTTCGTGTGACATCGCATTTCAACTGCTTACGAGAAATGAAAAAAAACGAACAACTACACAGCAAAAAAAAATGTAATATCGATCTACGTAATTCAAGCTGATGTATGAAATAATGATGTAATAGCAAAAGCAGATACAATATTACATCAATAGATGTAATTTTGTTCGCAAAATCGATGTACATCGTACAACGTAATATTACACAACAGGCGGAATGACCTCTGTGCAGCTGTTTGGATGTAATATTCAACAACTTTTTTTACTGTGTAGGTACTGTTGTTCCAAGAGAATCTTGCTCACTGATTTGCTTTGTTTAACAACTTGACACCGAGCGGTGACTACGATGTGTCTTCGTCAGCTCTAGCTTTTAACTTTTTATTTACTCTGGAGCACCATGCCTTTTTTAACATTGTGAGCCATAACTTTCTGAAATTACAACCAATTTTTGTAAAAATGTTATAACATAGTCTGTACTAGTTCTTCTATTATCGGAAGAAAATCCTAGGGTTATTGATGTATTCTGGACAGACTAAGGTCGAATTGAATCTTAAATATCTCTTTGAAAAAAAAACACTTTTAACCAAAACTATAGACAAACAGACAACATTCGCAAGTTATTCATCGAATTTATCGGTCAATTTAAATGTATCTTAGTTGGTAGTACCAACAATCAATACAAAACTAACGATTTTAAATTGGCTCACTACTTGACTAGCCTATTGGTCCCAAGCAAATCGATTAACGTATCCCATTCTAGTACAAATTCCAGTACCACACTAAGCGCATCGATTAGCTTGGGACCGAAGATAGCACCAGAGCTAAGTCAAAAAGTTGAGCTCGTTTCTTCGGGACCTTCTGGTCTTAGAGTTACCTCTATGGTAGTACTAAAGAGCCTGATAAATTCAGGCTCTTTAGGTAGTACCATCACAAGTGGTGCGCATAGTCAATTCGCTTGCGCTTGACGTCTACACACTACCGCTGTCTTTTGAGTGTACTGCCCATCACAGTGTACTCGACAGATGGCAGAAGTATTTTAGCGATGATGTTTTACAATGAGAAATATTCAATGATTTATATCTGTTTGTCTGTGCCGAAACATTTAAACATAGGTAACAGAAGGTAACCCATTCAGACAAATGAGGATATAAAGAAACAGCTTTCACGAGATTTGTTCCCACAAAACTTCCCGAGAGAGAGGGAGAGTGAACTTCAGCGAGAGCGTGTGATAGAAAACATGAACATGAGTGTCAGCAAACCTCACTATTATTTTATCCCCCTAGGCTCACAAGCTCTGAAGCTCAGTGGAATGATTTGGTAGTAGGCATTCTACTCCTCAGAAAAATGCTATACTCGGCTCATTTCAAACTCGCGAGTGAGGCTCCATCAAGCCTGGTTTGCGATTAGTTCACATGGTCAAACCTGTTTTTCTTTCTCAAAAGCTATCATGGTGTTCCAAATATATGTTTGCACTTTTATTCAAAGTACAGTACTAGTCTCATCGTATTAAACGATTTTCAAATTCTATTTAGTGAAGTGTGAAATTAACTTATTTGAATGGGATACGGCAATCACTTCAGTGATATATGCTTTTAATCAACACTTATAGCCAAATGATGTGAGTTCGGTTTTCCACTGTTCCTCTTGTTCTGCCTACAAATAACTAAATTTTCTTTTAACTTATTTAATTTTCAATATTTATGGAATATTTTGTCCCATAAAATCAGATAGCTTTGAGACCCAGAGATGTGCTAGACGCTCTGAATAATCAGACTGAGATGTCGTATTTTAAATATTTAATAACTGCTCGAAACATGTGCAACGTATCCAAAATACATGCATTTCCAAAATATACATTTTTACCCTATATCTATCTGCTGTCCACGGTCCATACCAAATTTCAACAATTTATATGAACAATTGTCCCGCAGGGAGACAGGGAGTCTAGAATCTCTCTAAAACTGTCAACGTGGAATGTGCACAGCCCCTCTAAAGTTAACCCATAAGGCTAAATATTCAACTTTGTAAATCATTCAAGAAATTACCCATAAGCCCGCTGAAGTTGACTTTAGGCATAACCTGTATCATCTCTGAAGTTGAACCGCAACAGAGAACAGAAATGGAACTTCGGATCCAAAAGTGGCTAGCGGTAGAAGGCAAGCTTTACCTGCCCAAATGCTCCGCTATTACGTTCTCGCGAAAACAACAACCGATAATATTTAGCTATGACCTGCTTGGCTCGACAATCGAACCCACGCGGGTGAAAGACTTGGGTGTGATCTTGGATTCGCAGCTTTCATTCAAGCAACACATTGCATATGTTGTTGATAAGGCGTCAAGAACATTAGGGTTAATTTATAGCATAGCTATAAACTTCACTGAAATCTACTGTCTAAAATCTCTCTATTGTTCGCTTGTTCGATCGACGCTTGAGTATTGTTCAGCGGTTTGGAACCCAAACTACAACAACGGTGCCGAGAGAATTGAATCTGTTCAACTTTGCTTTCTTCGTTTTGCGTTGCGTGCCTTGGAATACGGATCGATTACCCAGTTACGAAAGCCGTTGTCACCTTATCGACCTAGAACTTCTCCGGACTAAAAGAGACACAAGCAGAGCCCTAACCGTGGCCGATTTCCTGCAAGGAAGGACAGATTGCGAGGCTATCTTGAGGCAAATTTACCTGAATGTTCAACCCCGACCGCTTCGTAATAACCTTATGCTAAGACTGCCTCTAAGTCGCACAAATTATAGAGCATACGGTGCGATTTGCGGACTGCAGAGAACATTCAACAGAGTTGCATCTGTTTTCGACTTTCATTTCTATTTCTCCCGTGATGCGCTTCGTCGAAAGTTTTCTTCTGTTTTCCGCCGGCAGGAGTAACTGACTATAAGAAATGTTTTTTAATGTTTTTTTTTAATGTTATGACCATGCTTGAATGTATTTTTTTTTTGATATTTGATAAGGTCAACATCATTGGGGCTTCATCCAGCCTGTTGATGTATAACAACAATAAACAATAAACCTGCAGTTTACATGGACAGCATTGGTGTGCGTGCCCATAGAGAACCCGTGTGAAGGTGCATCTACAAGCATCGCTTGGTGATCACAACTGTTGACTCAGTTTTTGTTACACTGATTCGTTCATATACTTCCTCTTCTGTTCTGTGACCGAAACTGCCGCTCTTCGCATGTCCGTCCCATAGCGAAAATCTTCTTCTTCTTTCCTTTATTTAACGTCGGTCTCTGCTCCGCAATCTAGTGCCAATCACCGACGGACATCGATTGCCATCCATTGACGGCAATCGAATATGCAGGAAGGCAGCTTCCACACCTGCGTAGGGTATCGCACCCATTCAACACAACACACATGGGCCGGGACCAACGGCTTTACTTCCCTTCCGAAGGAAGACGTGACCAAAGATTTTTATGCCTCAGAAAAATCCCACCGACCTCGGCTGGGATTGAACCCAGACCCATCGGGGTGTTAGAAAGCAGACACGCTTACCACTACACCACCGGCGCCGGCTATAGCGAAGATCGGCAAGCCGAGAAAATCGCGTTTTAAGTTTGCTTCTTACCATTGCTTCTTGTGTGATGGGACAACCAATGTGACTGTCTTTCCAAACTTTTTCAGAACAAAGTTGATGAGTTCATCCAGCATAATTAAAATATGGGTAATTAGCTACCATTTGCATTGAAAAACTCAGTTTTGACAAAAACGACTATGGGACCGACATGCGAAGAGCGGCAGGAAAGGTCTCTGAAGTTAACCCAATAGGGGTCACTCACAAATTATATAAGCGTTTATGAGTGATTATTATACTGATTCCATAAGGCATATACTTTTTTCTTGTCCTTTATTAGAGATACTTTTAGCCTCAAAAGGCTAAGTTAACCCAAAAGGCCTCTGGAGATATCTGGAGTTGACCCATACGGCCTTTGGAGTTGATCCAAGAGTTTTTAGCTGGGTTCTCAATATGCTGGTCAACTGGGAGCCAATGTAAACTGTCAAACTGGAGCCAAACATTTAGAAGCCACAAATGTTGTTACTCTTCTTAGCTATTATCAAGTATTATTATTTCATATAAATTATCCATACTTTTTCATAACACATCACATTATTAACTGTGAACCCAAAGGCAGAAACCAAAAGGCTTAGTGGAGAAAGCTTAAAAGCCAGCAGTTTCGATAGCTCAGCTGAGTTACAATTCCAATAAAACATATTCTAGAGCCATGGGGGCTTGAGCACTTCTTGAGATCAGAGTTTTTGACTGAAGAAGAGCAAAACAATTTGCTACTTGAGAACATTTTCAGGCTGTTTTCAGTTGACTTGCAAAATCCGCAGTAGGGTAGAGCGCTACTTCGCCGTAATCGCTCATTTCCGTTCTATCGATTAAAAAAAGATCAATAATATCAATGATTTCCCTGTGCACAAATCAATAATAGCTTTGTTCTGATGCGTTAGTTCATTGTATGTATGTATGTAAGTAGCCACCTTGGGTCTTGCCCTGCATGCGGCTCCACTCAACAGCAAGATCAAATTCCGTCATCATTCTGAATTCAACATACTGCTGTGTGAAGGGCCAAAAAGCGTTGGACGGGCCCGTAAGCAGAGGCACTTACGCGAAACCCGTGGGAATAAAAGAATCTCCTTCCTGATCCAACAAAATGAATAACGAAATTCGCAATACATGTTAAGCTTTCCACGGGATGGTTTGTTTAAGAAGAGCGCGTCAAATTCATTGCAACTGTTGGAGTGAAATGTAACTATCTAAAATGACAGCACACATTCCCTCCTAGACTCCGGTTGGCATTGTTCTGATGCGTTAGTTCATTAGCTACAACATAAATCCTATTAGAACGCACTGTATGAATATTTACGTTCATTTTTCTCAAAACAAAAGAAGCACTCCTAGCGAATCCCCTTTTTCTACGTTTATCCGCAGGACGAAAAAAAAAACTAATGGCGTTTCAATGGGTTAGGGCGGAATTGAAACTCGTAGGACGAATTTATAATCAATAAGCAGTATTAGATTTTAAACAATATCTCAACAATTTGTGTCTCTTTATGAAATCCATTTGGTTAAAAATCATTTGAATTTTCTACTGCATTTGGTATCATTACTGATGATTTTCTTAAGGTGGCCACAAACTGACTGAAAGAGAAAGAAATACCTATTCCCTTCTTTATACTACTAGCTGAGTGTGCCCGGCCTTGCTCGGGATTCAATATTAGCTTGAGTGTATGCACCGTTTCATTTGTATGAGACTCCCCCCCCCCATACAGAGGAGGGAGGGGTCTCGAACCATCATAAGAACCTTTCCCGGCCCCAAGAACCCCTGCATACTAATTTTCACGCCGATCGGTTAAGTAATAGGTTAAAAGGAGGAACTATTACCCTTCTATCAAATTATTCTCAAAGAAGGAGATATTCCTTTCTTTCTTTAAATACCCAAAGAAGAAAATACTGCCTTCATTAGCGAAGTATTTATTCTCGGCATTCTGTTTTTATTTCCTTTTAGTCAGTAATCATTTTGATAATTTATTAAAGAGACGAATCAGCCAGGTGCAGAAAGTCTCTATAATAAAGCTAAACTACCTAACTGGTAATTTATTAGCAACTTTTTTTCGATTTTCGACCATTCGAATTTTTAACCTATGATACATGTTCATCATTTAAGCCTTCTGTTGCAATCCCGAATGTTGACTTTACGTTAGCAAGCATAATGACTCTGCACAAGTCTTAAAAAAAATCCCTCGCCACCGGCATAATTTTCCTACGCTTTTTCTGGGCTGCATTAAAGGATGCCCCGCCTACAATTCCCAAATGTATAAAATGTAGCAAGACTTACCAGATGGGATGTTCGTAATTCCGTAACAAGCCTGATGGACACAAATATTGCAATTATCACAGAACACCATCTCGTTCGCTTCCTCCGAGTCCGGTGAACGGCACACGTCGCATATGACATTTTCGTCGTACTCGATGCCAAGACCTTCTTCGCTCTTCATGATTGCCTGGATTTTATCCCAACATCGAACCTGCGTTGGCAAAAAAATGTAATGCTTAGATAAACTCTAAAAGGAAACTTCACGGTGATCTTACTTCTAGTTCTTCAACGACCCTTTCAAATTGTTCATCAGTCACTGGCACCAGTCCGGCTAGATTCCGTTCTCCATTGAAGACCTTCAACCACGCTTCATCGCACTGGTCGAGGTCATAGTAACACACCTGCTCCGAGATGGCCGGCGTGTTCGATAAGTAATGTTGATCGTGTGAGAATGTTTCATCCTTCGTTATCCGGATGTACTTGTTCTTAGGGCTGTAAAAGCGAACAATTCAAAATTATAGATTTGACTTCTACAAAAACGTTATTTTTTTCTAAAACCTACAGTTTAAAGTCCTGTCGTTTCTTGTAGAAGTTTTCTTGAATTATGGATACAGAAGGTTCTGGTAACGAATCCGGATTAACTGGAACCTGCACGCCACGCTCCCACTCCTGCTTCCACTGATCGTTGATGACCCAGTACTCATCGGCGGCAAGTGGTTCCGAGTCAGGTAGCTTCATGGCACTGATAAGATCTTTCCTGTTGGTGATTTGAGAACGATTGCATTAGTAAGTAAGTACATGTGTACCTAAGGTTTTAATAGAACTGAAATATTTTACCTAAACAATTCAGCCGGTGCTTCCGGTGCAGTACGGTTGTATATACTGGACATTTTGAGGTCGATGACCGCCCGCGGTTGCCAGTTCTTAGTTGGCGTCGTCGGACCACCTGTGTTGGACGTGAGAGAATTGTCGTCCTCCATCGACGAGACCGCGGGGCGGCCCTTACGTTTCTTGATCGGCGGTGGTCCATCATTTTCTGCGCGGTTCGATCGTTTCTGGCCCTTCTGCGACATACTTTGCCAACGACGAGTCACTGCTGTCGTTTGCCACCGTGCAGGTAGGATTTCGACGATCGAATGCTTCTAGTGGTTTACTTTGGTGACTGTTGAGTCCCTGGATTTCGGTTTTTCGGGACTCGTTCTGTGAAACGGTCCCTCGAATGTAGAACACTCACTAATAAGGTCGTTTTTTATTTCAGTAGTATTATGTATTTCTTGTATGGTTTATGTACGATTAATGCTTGGTTTTAAATATTGTTAATTTCATATGGGTAAGTAGTTATATGTGACAATCTGAAAAGATAAACAAAAATTAAGGTAAATCTTGATGGCCAATCACATAACATTGTTTCAATTACTACAGATCTCTCGCCAAAGCCTACATGGCATGCCATCGGTGGTATAATTAATGAACCTAAATTGTACACTTAATTCCGATAACAAAACCAGTAAGTACCCTCAATTTATTTGCAACGCCGTCGTCTCTCTCCCTCTAATCGTCATTAGACTGTTTACAAACCGTAGTATTAGAACGACTCGGCTTGCAACAACTGCCGAATCGTGAATCAGGTAAACAACCAAACAACAGCATGTACACACTTCTGCCGTAACAACACAGCAGACAAAAGCTGCGTAAACAGTATACGTGCGCACGTATGAATCATGACCGAAAAGTGCCTCCGATGTTTAACTCTCCTTGCTGATAAGATGTGCAGAAGGAATTCCGCTGCTGAACGAGTGAAGGCATGCTCCATCGGCATTGGTCGCTTTTTCTTGGTACCTACATAGTGTGTACTAACTATATGGGTAGGTACATTCGCCCTGATAGCAGCAGCGTGACACTGACTGTGGGGAGGGGGGGACCATCAAAAATATAGTAACTCGTCATTACGTAATAATTAGACCAGAGAAGGAACGATTTTTGATTATTGAAACCAAGCAGATACGAGAGATCGATTTGCCCGTGGCCATCTCAATTGACACTGGATGTGCCCAATATATGACAAAAGTGGATGACGATAGCTGAGGTGTGTAAATTAACTACATGGATAAGTGGTGTGTATTAGTTTTGGAGCACCATACCACCAGCAGAAGTGCTTGATCGAAGCAAAACAGCAGTACATACACAACACAGTAGAAGTAGTAGAATGTTTTCATGTGTGCGTCAAAGCGAATATATTGTCTGTTTCATTGGAAACGAACGCGCCGAAACCGTCGCAGAAATTGTCGTCATAGGAATTCCTATGGCGATGATTTTTGCGACAGTTTCAAAGCGTTTTGCCTATAATGAAGCAGACAATACCTAGTAAGGAATGGGGGAAATTACAAGCTCCTATATACAAATTGGAGCACATATCTAGACTAACATTTGAAAAGGTCGTAACTCCAAAATGACCATATCGAGAAAATCGCTTCCGAATTTTGATGAACTAAAAATTAATCCTATTTCACAACTTTCCATTTTCTGGGTGATTTTATAAGCTTGACATAAAGTTAATAGTGAAATCTTTTTTTTTTGTAAGTGCGCAAAACAGTCAGGTTCATTGAGTCATTTTGATATGAATATGAACTGCCATCTGTCTCATCATTCACTGCCTCGTGAGAGTCTGAATGATTCAGAGGTAAACGAGTCACTGACAGCCGAGCACTCAGTCAGTAGCTCAGTCAACACGTTTATTCTGCCGTGATGGTACCCAATATTTGTTTTGAATGACTGAGCGTGCATTTTCTATGGAAAAATGACTCAATTACATGCTGTGTGAGTGAATGCAAGCGGTGTGCGTCGCCTGCTCGTGAGTGACTGAATGTTTTTGTTGGCTCTTTCATTACCTCGTCCTTTTGAGCAGTGCATTCACACTCAGCCTAGGCAGTCAATAATTTGCTCTGACCATGCATAACTAAAAACTCAAAAAAAAAGTTTTCTTTGTCGTGAAATTGAGAATAAAAAATCATACGTCCTGATAATTTCTAATTACATGTTGTTACCTCCCGGAACCCTTTGAACTGCCAACACTGGTGATACGCCGTGGAAATACACCCTCGAGATTTTTTGTTTGTTGTTCCGCCTTGGTTCTTCGTTCGCAAATTTTTTGAGAGTGGAATTACGCCCGGAGATTTTTTTTTTGGTCTTCTTTTTGTTCGTTGTTTACACGTGAAATATCAATCCGATGCATTTCAAATGAATCGGGCGTGACTAGATACTACAGAATCAGTTCAGTTTGGCATATTAAAACAATATAATAGTTCTACATAGTTCTGGTGCAAGGCACCAGATGCATCATAGAGATGAAAGTTGGAAACACGCCATGTGAGAAGAAACGTTTTTGATGATTTGAAGTGATATTTACTTCTACTTTTTCGTGTTTATCGAGTAGTTTGTAAACTGTTCTCTCTATATGTGGCAAAATATGGTTTGTTTACATTTTGGAGTTACGCCCTTTTCAAATGTTAGTCTAGATATTTGCATGCAAGCAATAAACGACTTAATAATTATGATTGAATGATATACAAATCAGCGGAAGGCAGACGTGGATTGATATCGGTAAAAGTTATTGCTAATAATAATAAATTATTATTTAATAGGAATTGAATCATTAAACAGCCACCCAACAGGGGTAACATCGAACCCATTGCATGCAGAACGCACGAAGAACGAGTGATTGAAGAAAGCCCAAAGATGTTTGGAGCAGAGTGATGTGCTGAGATTCTATATATACACTAGACGTTTGCTAACTAAAGCATGTTTACTTTTCACTTAGCGAGCGGCATTCGCTAAATGAAATGCATTTCATTTGTCAAACCAGTTGTATAAAAACAGTATAGTTGAAGATGCTAATTTCAAATAACAGACTAAAGTGGTAATTTTTATACGATAGAATGAGGAGATGAAAGTATAGAATTGATAGTTCCGTTTGGAGTACGGCAGTGTGAAAATTGCATATAGAGAGTTGAAAGCGAGCTAGGACAACTTTAGGAAGGTACAAATCGGTTTGATCATCTCTCTTTACCAAACTCCCCCTTTGGAGAGGGATGGTGAGGGGTGTTCCCCCCGTTGACTTCACGCAGAAGTAATACTAAACATATAGTCAAAGTAAAAACAGTATGTTATTTTCACCACTTCATGAAACCTGACATTCTCCAAAATATTCTTTAATTATTAGTATATTGGACATGGGTAGGGGAAACACTCCAGTATTGACCATGTTCCTTTATTGGCCACCTTTTGACGATATTTCACGTTGTTTACAATGTTGAGATGTTCAGTTGCTTTCAGTTTGTTGGTATAAATCATATTCATCGGTGTACATAAGCATGTCGACCACAACATGCACGAATATTGTAATTTAATCGGTTTTCTGAGGTGTGGCCAAAATAGGAACATATGGCCAATATTGGTGCACTTCCCCTATTAGATTTCATGCAACATATTTATTTTCGCGTTGAGCAACTTTCAAAGTACAATAGGTTTTTCGTTTTCTTTTCCATGTAGTACTTTGTACCATGACGCGAGTACTAAAAGGTTAAATGCAATTAAATGTATCAATGTTTATCTTCGTGTCCATTTGGTTCATCTATGTAGATGTTTTGAAATGCACATTTTTTTTAATTGAGTATCAAGCTGAAGATGCGTGACAGTATAGTTGTCAAGACTTGACCCATTTGAATTAATTTTGCTTCTATTTTTGACAGTACAACAGAAGGACTAGCCTATGCTGGCAGCTTGAACACTGGATTCCGTGTGTGTTGTTTCAATATAGTTATAGAAAAAATGCTGTGACGTGTGCGTATAGATACATCCGCGTTGTAATCCGATTGAATAAGTAAATCCGTGTCGAATTCTTTAAAATCTAAATCATGTAAGTTACGAAAACCGCGCGAATTCCGAACGCCGTGCAAAACAACCGAAGCGAGAAAAAAGGCTTATTATCATTTAAAGAGTGCCACAAAAATAAATGTGATAGCCTATGTTGGAAAGTTTATTAATTTTGGTTTCCTCCCTAGATATTCTACTTATTTTACTATTGAGTTTTGTTTCAAATTAGATATTTTACCGCACGTATTAACCCTTTAAAAATTTCGCGACCGTGCCGAACAAATAATTCTAAACTACATAAGCTCAACAAACTTTTGGCAAGCTCTACCGAATTGCGTAAGTTCCGTAGACGTAGGTACGTTGAATCCGACAGCCGCGAAAAGTTAAACATGCATCAATGCCGATGTCGATTTTACGGTCACGTAGGGTTTAGTTCATGGATCAACATTGACTGCTGTTTACAAATGTAAGTACTAGAACAAAAAGAAATAAATTAACTCAAATACTTTAACCGCATATATAAGAGATTTCGTGTATTGAGAGAATAATATAGTAATCGAGTACAATAAACTCAGGGGAAAACAATACCTACAAAAGATTAAAAGTTATTAATTGTCACATACCTCTAATTTTACTTATTTCCTAAACTATTCCTCTCCTTGTTAATCTGCTTAATGCTATTGGTCTGCTTGCGTTTCCTTATTGAAGTTCAAGACTAAATCTTAAGTCCTTTTTGATTGGGTCGTATGTAACAAACGTAAACAAATTGGCATTTTAATACTACCAGACACTACTCTGCTTACTCTTCCTAAAAATTTGGGCCCGCTACCTCATTTCTGTTTCATTTTATCGTCCAAAAACTATTCGTCGTATGTGTCAACTGACCAAAACATAGCTCAATGTTACATACGACACCTAACTTCTATGGGGGTGTCAATCGTCGAATGTAACAAATTTGACAGAAGCGTAAACAAAGGTTAGTTGCCCCCCTAAGCGGACGCCCCGCATCCTAATTCTTTTGATAATTTACCTAATGTTATTATCTGAATTTTCTTATTTAAGTTCATTTGATGATTATGAAATCTCATTAGTCTAATTTAATAAATTATTGAAAGCTCTAATTCACCTAATCAATCATAACCCATGTTTTATTAAGTACCTGCACTTGTGCTTGTAATCTAAAATCAAACGTGTTTCAAGTACTTTTGATTTAAGCCTATACCTATTTATAGCTTAGTTCGACCCAGGTAACACCTTCATGTGACTAAAATGCTTCATTTGGAAGTTAGTTTCCTAGCTGATTTTTAAATTATATAGGGTATATGCTCAAACTATGCTCACACGCTTCCACTATGTCGCACCACAAAAATACGTATGGGTATGTCACAATAGAATCACGCCACAGTGGAAATCCCGAGCCATAGTTCAAACACTTATCCCAAATCAAAATGAAGCATATATAAGATTAGTTACAATACCATGTACAAAAATGATGTTTAACATTGTTTCCTGAGTAATACTTCAATGAAAACAACAATGAAAGCTTGTCACGCAAATAGAAGGAGCACTGTTGGGCACTTTCTGAAATATTTCAATAGTATAATTCCCTTGCAAACACAAATAAATCTATCTGCGTAAAATAAATAAGATTGATTTGCGGAAAAAACTCGCCAGTATCGCACCCAACGTCAGTGCCTATACGTAAGCGTACTACAACGCGGCTCTCAAACAAAGGAGTAACAAGTGTGATACTATCACTGCCAGACTAGATCTTTGGTTCTCTCATGCAGTGGTTCATCAGAGAGGGGAAGTTTAGTAATCCCCATCGCCTGCCCATGGTGCCATTCTATCGCGGCATGAGCCAGCAACGCCGGCCATTAACCTACTGTCTCCAACACTCCACTATAAAGCATGAAATTAAGCCCGCCCATCAGCAACAAGGTGCAAAAACTAGCCAAGGGGAGGGGTGAAATGCACAAATTAGAGTTTTTTAACATTTCAGTCAAAAGCCTTTCAGTTAGTGAACGTCTATAGTTTACGTGAGCAACTTTCAATGTACAATGATCCCAAATTCGTAATTAGGACTTTCAGGACTTTTGATGGTGCACCTCTATGCAACTGCAACGCATTTTTTTTAACGAGAATCGTTTATAATTTTCCGATTAAAATAGAAATCAATTTGTTTGCTTCAGCAAAAATATATGAATAAATTATGTTGGAGAAATCAATGTATAAAAATCTAGTTTAATAAAACCTTTTATACTAAGGGATTCCCTAATAAAAATTGTATGGTTAATTTGCTTAACGACGTGTTCTGGGTATCATCCAAACCATTTATGGAATAGTTCAATGATTTGGGTTATCATTCGTTTATGGATATTTTTTATTAGGGTTGCCCTAAGATACATAATAAAACCAAGTATAAAACGTGCACTATTAGAAACAGAAAATTAGTTTCTTAAGCAAATTTGTTTCAAATAAATTACTTAAAAAGTCACTAACCATAGGGACCACCCTAACTTCAATCACATCAATAGATTGGCTAAAACAAATTGAAGAACTTTTCTCCAAGATACTATTTACCTTAAACTACTGATTTAGACACACACTATTTAATCCTCCTAAATAAGGCTTTGGGACCACTGTGCAACGGCTTGTGAAGTAAACAGTCACCACACACCTCTTTTTATAAGTTGTGAGCTGAGAGTGAATCAAGAAACAAAATAAAAATTGAATAGTAGACTAGAAGTAAATTTTCACTTTTATAGCTAAAAGTGTTAGACAGATGAGCAATAGCTCCTGTATTCATTATGATGAGTTTACCTTTGCTTAATTTTGTTCTGAGGTATCACATTGGGTTGCTGTCTCTTTGTGCCTTCAATTATTGTGTCGATCTAAGTGTTACTAAGATTGGGCCCATTCGATATTTCCGGAGTAAATTGTGATTAGGGCGAAACTAGCTAAATGTAAACTAGCTTGGGACCGAAGAGAGTACCAGAGCTGAGCTAAAAAGTTGAGCACGTTATTTCGGGACCTTCTAGTCTTAGAGTTACCTCTATGGCATTACTCTCTTTGTATTTGTTGGTTTCCTATAGATTTCGAAATTGAACGAAGGCGTTTCCCTGATGATGAGAAGACCTAAGAAGGGGAGTTTGCCGTCTCTCTCTCTTCTACGTGAGTAAATTTGATGTCCTTGTGAACGTTGCTTATGGCCTCCAAAATTTTTGATAAATCTTCCCTTTTGACAATGCTAAAAATGTCATCTACGTACCTATACCACCACTTGGGCAACAAATTCCTATCCTCCAGAGTATTTTCTAGGTTAGCCATGAACAATTCACATAAAAATGGAGAAAGCAGATTGCCCATAGGAGCACCTTTAGATTGTTGTTTATAAAAATTTACTCTGAAAATGAAATTATTTTCCTCCATTCAAAGACGAGTAAGCTTGAGATATGACCGAACTTTGTTTTTCCAAGAAGAATCCTCACATTGCTTCAGAAGCCAGTCATCTAAAAGTGCTGTGACATCAAATGAGACCATGACTTCATCTTCTCGAATCTCTCCTGATGCTTGAGGTTGATTTGCGAATTCCTGTGTGCTGTTAACTGATGTAAAGGGTTTAGGCATATTTTGAAATTCCTTTACTAGCCATTTGGCAAGCTTATGAGTGGAGGATCCTTCAGCCGAGATAATCTTCCTCATTTCGTTTCCTGGTTTGTGAATCTTTGGTAAACCTTTGATCCTAGGTAGAATAGGGTTTGAAACTTTCAATTGATTCGTAGTGTTGCCAATAAACGCCTTACACTCTTTCAACGTTTTATCCACACGTTTAACCATAGATGGGAGGGGGTCAATCCTCAACTGCCTGTATGGGCCATTATTAATTGTTTTCCGTCATCCGATTGTCATAGTCCTCTTTGTATAAAATCACTACCTTTGTCCGCTTTTGTATATAATACCGGCTTTGTTTTTAGTTCTTTGAGAATTCGAATTTTCTCTTTTTCGGTTTTACTAAGTGAATGTCCCTTTCCGTTTTGTATTGTCTCTGAATAATATTCCTGGCCACAACCACTTTCCTAGAAACTTATATCTGCGCCCATACAATGCACCACAACTTGAAAGCAGATATTCCGAGTATAAAATTGGTAAATGGTGCACAGCCTAACGCAGACATCAGAATCTATGTATCGTTTGCGATGCGTTTTTGCAAAATTATGGTTTACTTTATACGAAACACTCTCTAATGGCATCATACGGCGTTTTGCCATGTAGTGTCCAAGACAAGACTACAGTCATCAACTAGTCTTGTTAGCAACTTTCATTGTCTGCATTAAAACTAATTTTCATTTATTGTGACTGTCTCAAATCCTACTATTAACGGAATATTATCTTCGTTATCAACCAAAACAAGCACATTTTTGGATTCTATTCTGTCTGGCTCATTCGTTTTGCCTCCATGCTACTGGTTGTTATGACTGGGCAGAGTTAGTGCTTCCAAATTTATATGTCTCAGCTGTGTATTTCAAAATATCGCGCATGTAACATCCATATACACCTGTTGTAGATAGTATCCTTATCAACGACGCCAAGTGGATTGTATTGAACCACTTGGCTAGGTTGTACGCTGCCACACGCACCAACATTGGGTGCCAAAAGAAAAAAAAAAACAATCACTCTCGAGGTCACATATTAGCACACTGTTCCAGTCCATACTGTCCTGATGCTGCTGCTGCTTATCACACGATTAATCAATAAATTGCGAGAATGTGCATCTTCTAATTCCATCCAGCTCCGATAGGCTCGCCGACCACATACATTAGAGCAAATAAACAAATCACAATTAAACATGACGGCATTACGCCTTGGCTCACACTTCAGCTCCATGTTTTGTACTACTTCACTAACATTAACACAGCCTAGCAATGCCACACCAACATATTCACGTTATTTTAGTATTATTGCTTTCATTGGTCTTTTTTTTTCTTCGTATAACACTACTTGCTCTCCTTTCTTTTTCCGTCCGTGATGTGTTGTACGTGTACGGTAGCGGTGTACCGATATTCTCACATATGCAGATTTCTCTTCCACCACTTCATCCATCTCTTTTTATCACTTGTTTCGATGGCTGCGCTTTGCGCGAGTAAGTACTTTTGGCAGAGAGAGGGAGAGTATACACGATCAAAAAAAAATAATGTAAGACTTCTTTTTCTTTATAATCACTCTGTACACTTTTTTCTATACCGTCGACGTCGTCATCATCATCGTCGTCTTGGGCACCGTTTCTGTACCCATCTTCATTATCTAGACCCAATGGTGTCTTTTGCACTCTTTCTTCATACACACCCGTTCACTGGATCCAAAAGCATCAGAGCAGAAGTGTAGTAGCCAGTGTTGCTATCTTTACACACAACACACAAATATAACGCGCAACCCGCAGTCACAATATGCTCATGAGTATGCGATCAATAACTCTCACTTGACTACGATGGTACCATCAAACAAGTTGAACACGCTCACTGGATGCTGTGCGATAGTATCCTTTTATTTATGTTTTCTTCATACTAAACAAGAGAACCTTGCCTAAATACTACATTGGGGACGATCGAGAAATAATCAACGCTGTGAGGATCGTTCAATTTATTAAACCTTGGTGATGAGAATGTTGTAGGCAGCCAGAAGCAACCATTGACGACGAAGAGCGCGAGAGATCATGTAGCAACGAAACGTCAAAACAACACTACACACTGCAAAGCATCACTATAAATTCCTGCGAAAGAGTGTACAATGTCAGCGCAAAAGAGAAATCTATCACGAATACTTACGCTTTTATTTTCTTTCTCGTTTTGAAAATCAATCGATTTACATTTCTCCGCGGAAATTTAAACTTTTGTCGCAGACCGTCGCGGGGCAATGCGTGACATTTCTACAAATCCTGATGTTCCTGGTGGAAACGATGGAGAGAAAAATAAAGGAAACAATTAGTATTATTATGTACAGGTGTGTGAACACGTACAGATTGGTAATAAGGCGCATATGGGAAAATGGTCCTTCTTATGACCGATATCTTCAACACAGACAAACAGGCATAACACTCGGCATGCTGTTCATCGTTCACTCTTTTAAGCGAAGATTTGATATGTTTATTAGCTACCAGTTGCAGTGTGACCACCGGCGGCGCTCATAGTGTTTATCAACAGATGGCGATAGTCTTTTATAAACAATGTTATAATGAAAAACATGCCCAATTTTTTTGTCGGTTTGTCTGTGTCCTTAACTTAGTTCTATCACCACAGAGAGTACTTATAAAATACCGTGGACCTCTGGTCATATGACCGCTTTTAATTTGAACCCCGCTAATATGCACACCGTGTAAACTATAACCAATGGCTCAAACGTCATTCAGCACATGGAGTGGAGCAAAGCGAAACGAAACACATAATCAAAACAAAACAGCAACTAAGGCTACAAGAATCTCGCTTTTTTCTTCTAGAGCTGAACATTAAAAATAAACTCGGTTAAGCGATTAGCGGGGGTCCACGGTATAAGATATAAAAAAAAGCTCCATGTCTCACGGAAGCCTTGTCATACACAATTTTTATGGGCTTATTCGTATATCCTTACGCACACAACTGGTGAACTTCTTAGAATACGATAACCAGATGAGGCTTTGCTATACAACTTCCTTAAGGAAGCTTTATAAGCTCTACAAATTATGCTGGAAAATTCAGATTTTCAAATATCAGCGTTAATATGAATTAAATTTGAATTTCAAGAGATTCTCTGTTATTTGCTAGATTGAAGCTGGAAGTGAACCTAATACCACAAACGAAGTGACAGACGCCTAACTGGCGAAGAAATCAATTGGCAAATCAAAGTTGGCACTCGTGGAGAATAGAAGAACTATGAAAGTGATGATGGTTTCAAAATTTTCCACGGGGAAGTATACGAATGCAATCTTAAAATGCCTTTATTTTGCAAATGGAACATTTTATTTAAATCTGGTTGCTGCTACAGTGGAAGAAAAGCTCAAATCTATGTGTACACCTAAAAATCTGAAAAGAAATTAATTTTTCTGTATTATTTGTCTATTGAGTAGTCCTTAAGTTTTCTACTAACATAGCATCAACCAGATTTAAATAAAATGCTCCATTTGCAAAATAAAAGCATTTTAAGATTGCACTCGTATACCTCACCGTGTAAAATTTTGAAACCATCATCACTCTCATAGTTCTTCTATTCTCCACGAGAGCCAACTTTGATTTGCCAATTAACATAATGTAGTTCACTGTAATAGAATTTTCTTAGAAGCTTGTGCCATCAGCCACCAGATTGGCTAGTATTTTTGTTTTGATTTGAATAAAGTTGATTTTGTGTGCAATGATCTTTGACAGTGTGCAAGAGTGTATCATTTTGATATTTTTTATACACTTTAGTTTTGAGTAGAGTGAAAGAGATAGAACCAAAACACAGGGCTGGTAGCGCTGATGCGATATAATAGTAGTGACTTTAGTGACTAAAATTACGGAAATAGTGACCAAATAGTGACTTGTAAATTTATGTCATGGAACTCAATATCAAGTTTCATAAATTCCTCTAATTTGATCGAATCTCACAACGGAAACTCCTGTGAAGAGCATTTGAAGTAATTTGAATAATTTACTTTTGCTTACGTTATACATGATGACTAGCAAATAGTAATTCCCATTTTTATGATCTTGAATTTGATTCTGCGTTCGAAATCTCTAAATATTTGATATATCTAGGTAGACAACTTTGATAATTTGCTATGAAATTTTCACAGAATTTCTTCAGAATGATCTCAAGAACTTTTTTAGAATAATTCCCCTTCTCTTAAGCTTAGAAGCAAATAAGCTTTTACAAACATAATATTGCATTCTTGAAATTCTTTGCAGAACAATCAACAAAATTCTTGGAAATAGATCATTTTCGTATTTGGAAACGCTTAACATCAAATATCAGAACTAAAGTGGACATGTTATACGATAGATGAGGAGATGAGAGTAAAGAGTTGATAGTTCCGTTATAGTGTGGCAGTGTAAAATTTCTATATAGAAAGTAGAAAGCGAACAAAGGATAATTTTTAGGAAGGTACGAATAGGGTAGAGCATCTCCTTTACCAAGCTCATCCGTTAATGAGGGATGGTGAGGGGTGTTTCCCCCTGCCACCACTGGCAAAAGGGATGATCACGGATTTGCTCATGTACCTCTGATGTGTGGAAACAGTTCTATCGATTGTTTCACACTCAAGTCGCCATCTGACGTAAACAACTACCCGATTCGTACCTTCTTCAAAATTGTCCTTTGCTCGCTTTCTACTTTGATAAACAATTTTCACACTCCTCGGTCGTATAAAATCTCCATTTGAAGTCTGATATTTGACGTTAAGCATCTCCGACTATGTAAATTGTTAAATTCACGCATGAATTAATAACACATGATTAGTTAAAGTAGATTATTTTCGATTTTTTATTGATTATTTTAGAATTTCCATGCAATTAACCTCAGAAGTTTCATAAATTTCTGCTTAGAATAATCTTGGACTTCTCCCTTGCATTCAATTCGTATTCTCCTTAGAATCCCCATAGTATTTCCTCAGAATTCTCAAAACAAAAATCCATCACAAACTTTGAAACTCTTCTCAGAATTCCTTCCTCAAAATTCGATTCCAGTTGAATTCTTCTCGGAATTTATTTCGAACTCTTTAGAATTCTCTTGAAAGTATCGTCAGAAATCACCCAGAATTCTTTTAGAACTATCCGCAGAGACCATCTTTGGAGTTCACGGGATTTTCATGGAATTTTCATCAGAGCCATTTCAGAACTAATTTTGAATTCTTATTATAATTAGACCTAGAATCCTCATCCAATCATCATAGAACTCTTCTCAGAACTCTCGTTAAAATGCACTCTCAATTACATTAGAATTATTTCCAAAATTATTTCGGAGCTGAATTTTGAGTCTCTATTAATTTAAAAAGTAATCAAAAGCGACGCCCGTATGTGTTAAGGGGGTTATGTGTTTGATTTTTCAAAAAAAAAAATGCATTTTTTTTTTGGCTTAAAATATTCCTTGGGATGTATACTTTAATTTAGAAAAGACTCCAAGTCCGCCAGAATATTCCTTATCGCTTTACGAAGCGATTTCCTAAAACATGTACCGGCGCGCTGAGAGAGATTTTATCTTTCAACGCGTTTATCTCGAAACGGGGTTTTTCAAACTGGCGTGGGAAATAACTCTAACCAGTTATCATCAAATTTGGATATCGCCTAGGTTTTCTTGTTCAGAATTAAATTCTGCTTAGAAATACGTATCCACATTTTCGATTTTGTCAAAAATGGATTTTTAATCCACGATTTTGTAAGCATTTTTAGGGTGAAAAAATGGACTTTTTTTTCCTAAGGCCACAACTTTTGAAAAAATTAATTAAAAAAAAATTGGAATACGTATTTCTAACCCAAATTTCATTACTAATCAGGATTTTTGTTCGATTTATGTTCCAGGTTCACATGGAAAGGAGTATTTTCCCACGCCGTTTTCCGACTTCCACGCGAGGACGCCCGCGCGACCTGGTGCACCGGCCACGGGGAGACGCCAATCGAGTTCAAAAAAATACAAAATGTAGTTCAAAGGATGACTAATAAATGGATTATAACATATTTGCCCTCCCTGAGTGTTTTATTGCTTAAAAAAATTAACGAAAATGCCTTACTTTTTGGACGTTCAAAGTGTACTACCCCCTTAGTTTTACTATATAGGTAAACCTGGCTTAAGATTTAAGCGGATATGAAGAAATCGGTCCTCAGAACAGTTAATTTTACATGAGACTTTCATAGTCTGTACTTTGGTATTCTTCTCTGATATATCTTGGTGTCTGCCCTAGAATCCTTTAAAATTCTCTTTTTAATCGAAATTTAAGGCATTTCCCAATAGTTTTCCTGGTGTTCTAACGTTTTGCGGTTCACTGGTCACTCTGGTTAAAATTTGCAATTTTTTAACAGATATGTATATTTTGCTAAAACTACTGTAGACTTTCTTAGTGCCAAGTACTCAATTTAAACATTTTGTGAAAAGTCACTTTAGTGACTATTTTTAGAGAAATAGTGACTTTAGTGACTTTTAGGTGTAAAAAGTGACTTTTTAGTGACTGACTTCAAAATAGTGACCAAGTCACTAAAAAGTGACCTGCTACCAGCCCTGAAAACATTATAGTACATTTAGTGTTGCCATGTGGTACAATCCAGTACAAATCCGTCGCCAAATTTTTCGAGCCGCCGTCTGTCACTTCGTTTGTGTTCCAAACTGTCCAAATCAAAAGTTGCGTTCATGATGGTGTTTTGCCGTGATTTCCTTATCAATAGAAAATAGGAGAAATGGCTCTAATTTTGGTATGTGTATCTAAAGATTGGAGACATCGATACAAATATTGAATTTTCCTTAAAACAATACGTAATCTGGACAAAACTATTTTTGATTGCTAATGGCAAAAAATAATAATCAAAAATGCTTTATTCCGGAATGCATGGGCTCAATATTAGGAACATCAACCCTATTTTTTTTCTCTGTTCGGGACCTAACACCACTGCGACCAGTAATTTGATATATTGTAGTATATCCAGTGTCCTTAGTTTAGTGCATGTCGCATTACTCCATCACTATTGAGAAATGATGAAGTATTCGGTTTTCATACAGTTGTCATTCTTGCCTTTATCGCAAGGAATCGATTCTAATTGAAAGGTCCCGCTATTTATAGCCTTCGGAGTGTTTAAATACCCTCCAAAGGCGCGCCCCTTTGTCAGTCAAAATTGGATTCCTTAGCAACAAAAATAAGCAATGACACCGATAATGACCATGCATCTGAACCCAAGTCTTAACCACTTCAAACTAGGGAACAACGAATAGAAGATTAGGAATCACATAGAT